GGGATTGACCCAAAGCAAGGCCTGAAAGCCTGCCACAAGTCTAAAGCACCTTCTGGCCAGGACCCATGGAAAAGGGTCAGAAATGGCCAGACAAATCTGGGAGGAAAAGAGCAAAATCCAAATCAATATAAACACTGCCATAGTCACCTCCCTAGAGGTATCTCACCCACATCTGCCTTAACCAGTCCAGGGTCAGGAAACAAGCCCGGTTTCTTCATCACATGCATGCTGCTCCATGTGGCTTCCCTAGGTCTCCATCTTTTTTCTCCATCTAGCTTCCTTCTCTCTTCTTCTCTCTTCCTCTTTCTCCTTTTTCTCTGCTCAGCTCCACCCTCCTTCTGGGTGGGGCAGGGAACCTGGAACTTCCCTTCTCCTAGGGACCATCCAGTTACAGTAATACTGTATTAAAGTTTCTTTTCATGAAAGTCTTATATGTTTTGTCTTGATGTGGAGGATGGCAGAACCTATTTAGAGCAGGCAGATTTGGGGGTTCAGGAGTGCCTCTCTCCCTGCCCTATCTAAACTATCTTGTTTTCTTATTTGGTTATCTTTTATGCCTTAGTTTTATTTACATCATTAGTATGTTTAATACTTGGACATATTGGCTATACAGACCTTTCTTTTTTTGAAATGCTATGCAGTGCCATAGCTTAAAATAAATTGCATCTATAAACTAACATCTTCTAGAATTAAACTACCATCCTGGACTCCAGATTCACATGTACAACGCACAAAACACTTATACACACAAATTTCTATTACACAGGCACTGCATACTTTTAATTAGTTGATGCTACCTGTTCCAAACCAAGTGCTGGATTTTCCTCATAACCACACCAGCATTCTCCAGCCATAGCCTTTCCACCTCACTCTATCTCAGGTAGTCATCCTTGACTTAGATTCCATTTATCATCTATTATCACATGCAATTCTTTTAACATCAGGGAGATCAAATCAAAACTACCAAGGGCTTTGTTTCTCTCAGTGGAAACCAAAGTCCTCCATTTGGGCATTTGTTACTGCCCTGAGCTCATTTGCTGCTTTGCTTTGTTTACTCATTTTTCCCTTACAGCAACATAGAGTTGGATCTTTTTACTTATGTTAATCTTTTCTTACAATACATATACATATTTTTTAATAATATAAGTTTATTTTTATATTATTTTGTACCTTTTTCCATCTCAGTTGTAATCCCCCGGAGCTTCCCATCACCAAATCACCTGTGTGCCATCCATTTTCCAGTGCACTTCCCTCCCCCACAATATATTTTAATTGGTGTATTTATATAGTATTTCTTGGCATTCAAGTCTTCTGTACTTTGAAAATTTTCTTAATGAGAACATAAGGCTTTTACTGACTTGAAAACTTTTAAACTATAAAACTATGAAAAAGTAATTTCCCTTTTAACTCAAATATTCCCTCCATAAGTAGAGAATTAAATAATAGGGTCAAGACTTAAGTTCAAGGCAAAAGCTTATATATAGCAGTGCCTTGCAAGCCTGAGTTCCTGATGAAGACTTTTCAAATAAATCAAATTGTATATTGTGGAACACTGATTTCTGAGTCTTGAAATTGAAATATCTTGCTTCAATCTTCTCTCTACTAATGAGAATTTGACTAAGTCACTATTCTCTCTGTATTGCAGATCTCAAGTGAAAATATTATTTGTCTGTTAACTCATAGTAAGCATAATGCTTTAAAAGAGAAATGCCCAGATACTACAAAAGACAGCTATAAATAAGCAAGAGACTAAATGCTGGTAAAGTTATTGTAAGTTCTAGGTTAGTGTGCACATATAAAAAGGTGTCACAGAAACGACCAAAACACCACAAATGTTAAGGACTGTTCGTGATTTAATTTTATACAACTTCCAAATGCCTATGAGTTTATACTCAAAACTGAAAAGGTTGGAGAGGCTCAAGCACTAGGAACTGTTTGGCCAAAGAAGCCACAAACGTGAGGTTTTCACAGAGAATAAAGATTTTAAATGCTCAGACTGTTTCTGGACCTGGGGTTGGAGGCAGATAGTTTCAAGTGATGCTGAGGCAAGAGTTTACTGTCCACAGGTTAGTTGTACAAACCACGAGTTAGAAAGGATGAATCGCCCTTTGAGAGAAGCTACAAGTTAGCTCATAGTTTCCTCTTCCCCTTAGTGTGTCAATTCTAGCAATTCTGCGGCCCAACGTGAGACACTCACCGGGTCAACCGGGCGGCAAGGTGTTACGAGTTGGGTTCAAGCAGTGAAGACCTGGCAAAGTCCCACAAAACGCTAGTTTTCCAGCTGTTTCGAAGACCGTTGCTAAGGAAACGCAGCAATACCCTGAGCTCAGCCCATCACGGCTTTCCCAGGGCGAACTAAAGCGCTTTGGGGGCGTGGTTACGTGAGTGACGCATAAGGGGCGTGGCGAGGGCGTAGCCGGACTAACAGCCGGATTACACTCCAGGCGCATGCGTGTGATGCTGCACGGCAGGCTCCTTGGAAGTCTTCATTCCGCCTGGGGAAAGTGGGGTTATGGCTGCTACGTGTGCGCTTTCAGACAGATCTCTCCGAGAAGCCACCCAGCGAAAGTTGCGAAGGTTTTCTGAGTTGAGAGGTACTAAAGAAAGAACCCCAGATCTCTAGGACCGTGAGAGGGAGGGTATTTTACAAGCTGGGAAAATTGGCTGTCATTTCCTGCCTGCTCTTCACCTGCAGGCCCAGGACACCCACACAGGAATAGATAACTTTTGGGGGTTTTGTCACTGTCATTTCTTCCTTTGACTTGATTCCCAGTAACATATAAGCTTTATATAAATAATATAAAAGGAGGAAGTAGAAGGGAAAAAAATGATTAACCTTACTGTAAATTCGTTTTGCATTTTGTCTGCTCGTTAGCAGGTTATTTTAAAAAATCGAAAAGGTCTAAAGCATAGTATTTTGACCCCACAGCAGATTTGACTTTAACCTTCTTCCACCCCCACCTATGTCTCCATTGTATTCCACAATGAGTAAAATAACAAAACATATAGGTATTAATAAAATGAAAAAGGACGAGTTTGTATTTAAAAAAAAAAAAGTGATTCCACTTGTCATCCCCTCTACAGTTTTACAGTTGTCTAATAAATATTTTTGATGAAGTTACTTTAGGGGAGTGATACTGGGATAATAGTAAAATACTCAGGATTTTAGATTCTAATTAAAATCCCTGTGTATAGTGTTAATAAGAACATCCAAATATCTACCAAAATTTCATTCTTTCTCTTAATGAATTTATTGTGGAGTGGAGAAATTTCCTTATATCCAGAATTTCATGTCATACCCCAGTATCTTTGTAAATTTGCTTCTCTAGTAGTAAATTAATGGAAAATAGCCGCACTTATAGAGAGCAGAATTGTAGAAAAGAATCTTCATGTTGAGTCTTTCTAAGGCAACAAACAAGTCTAGATTCACTTATTCTTTTGTCTTCTCATTTAAGAATTGAGATAAAATTGGCATGGGTAAAGTGCTTCTCAATCAAGAAACATTACAACTTTCAGAATATGTAATGTATACTGTAAAAGGAGCAGGTAATATAGAAAAGAGCAAAGAAAAAAAAAAAACATGTGACCAATCTTCATTAGAACCATTTAAAGTCATACTCGCCACTAATTATCCACAATTCTCAAAAACAGAACATATATTTGTAAATATGATATTACCTCTTTTTCTTCTTTTCAAATAGGTAAACATGTAGCAGCTAGAGAATTTTGCTATTTATCATTTCCTTTTCCCACTTAGGCAAACGTGTGGCAGCTGGAGAATTCTGGGACATTGTTGCAATAACAGCAGCTGATATAAAACAGGAACTTGCTTATAAGCAACAGCTGTCAGAAAAGCTGAAAAAAAAAGAGTTACCCCTTGGAGTTCAATATCATGTTTTTGTTGATCCTGCTGGAGCCAAAATTGGTATGGATTTATGTTCAGATTTATTGAAGAAAAGCTTTCCTGTTGCTTACAGCTTAAAAGCTGTATGTCTTTAACCAATAGCCTTTAAAAACTTTAACATTTTAATGGAAATTTGCTGTTTTTTTTAAAGATAAGTATAATAATTGTTTTTACACATTGTGACATACCATGAAAAAATCTTATTTAAAAGAGAATTATGTTACTTTTAAAAAGTTTACTCAGATGGTGACAATTTTTTGGACTTATCAATAGGGCTCTTTCAGTCCCTACCCACTTCACAGTTTCTTCAGAAATTTACATGGAGAGAGCACATCAGAAAAAAATAAATATGTATGCAATCAGTATGCAAAATAGCACAGTATAATGGCATACATATCATAGATAATTATTTTAAAAATTCAGTATAGGGACTTCCCTGGTGGTTCATGGGGTTAAAGCACAGTATTGTGAAGCTATCTGCAACCACTGCAGCACAAGTTCAGCCAGCGAGGTGACCCACATGGGGCAGCAGACCTCTCCTGTCTCACTGGCTGCTCCCTTCAGCATTGTATTGCAGTGGGGACCTGTTCTGCTTCCCACTCTGTCTCTGGTGAATTCTCTCACCACCCCATACATATGCCTATGTGTGCATAAATAATAAATAATAAATATTTAAAAAATTAAAATTCAGTATAGATCAACTTTTGTATTGCATACAGTTCTGTCTGACATTGTCATTCTAAATAACCTTATTTTTTTTTAAAGATTTATTTATTTATTCATACAGAACAGGCTAGAGATGCGGAGGGTGAGAGGCTTCACCAAAGACAGAGTGGGGAGCAGAACAGGCAGATCGACAAAGTACACTGCTGAGGGGAGCAGCTGGCGGGTCAGGAGAGTTCTGCCGCGCCATGTGGTCACCTCCGGGGCAGGAGGGAATCAAACTCATGCGGAAGTGGCTTTAGCTTCTCAGTGCAGTGCTTTAACCCGCTGCGCCACCAGGGAGGGCCCAATAACCTTATTTTTTTTAATTTTTGCAACTATGCCATTACTATTTCTATTATTCTCATTATTGAAATGTGAATATGAGGTTCAGAAGCTTAGTAATTTACCCCAGGTAACTAGTAAATAGTACTTAAATTTAAGATGATTTTTTTTTAAAGATTTATTTATTTGTACATACAAAACTGGGGTACAGGCCAGAGGCTCAGGGGCGGCAAGAGGCTTCACCAGAGACAGAGTGGGGAGCAGAACAGGCAGATCGACGAAGTACACTGCTGAGGGGAGCAGCGGGCGGGTCAGGAGAGGTCTGCCACGCCATGTGGTCTCCTCCGGGGCAAGCGGGAATCGAACTCATGCAGAAGTAGCTTTAGTGTCTTAGTGCTGTGCTTTAACACGCTGTTCCACCAGGGAGGGCCTTAAGATGATTTTTAGAAAATAAAGTCCTAAAAAAAAATCTTTAAAAGGAAATCAAACCTTGTTTGATTGTCAAATGGGAGAATTATTTAAATGGGTTTGCAACTTGTAAATCCAAGTGAAATTATACTGAGTCTTCTAGTGCTGCAGATTACCTAATTTGTCATTTCCTTTTTAAATGCTATTTACAGGAAAAGATAAAACTCATCATTTGTTAGTGAACTCTGATCTCTGGTTCTCATTGTTAATTACTTAATTGCTGTGAAAATATGTATTTAATTTTATTCTTTTACTACATACCTTTGTTTTTTGTCTTCTTAATTATAACCAAATGCCATAGCTTCAAAGTTAAAAATACCTAAATTGTCATATTATAAAATTTTAATAGGCTTGTATGAATTTGTGCTTTTTAACTTTTATTTTTAAGGAAATGGAGGATCAACACTTTGTGCCCTTCAATGTTTGGAAAAATTATATGGTAATAAATGGAATTCATTCACCATCCTATTAATTCACTCAGGTAAAGTTATACTTTGCTAATTTATGTTTTCTTTTTAAGATTTTTACCTTAGATCTCTTAGGAACTGTTTTTCTCCTCTGCGAATACTTTCCTTGCCACCTTTCTTTTTCTTTGAAGTTATTCTACTTTGGGAACAAATAGTTTATGTTTTTTTTTCTTCTTACAAAAAATATCATTAAGATTGTAGTTTCCTTACTTTTCATGCATATTATTTCTGGTATTTATATAAAAAATAACTTTCTTGTAACAAATTCACCAAAGTATAAACAATTTTCAATTATGTCTTAAAAGTATCTCTTGATATAGAGAGTTTCATTTACCATTGTGATTGCCAGACTTGCCTAAACCTTCTGTCATTTATTTTATGTAATTATGTTTACAATCTTTAAAAGATAGTGACCAAACATGGAAGTAAGTATGTAACAGGGAAAATCACTCACAGAGTGATTTTAAATTTTTAAAAAGTAAGAGAGAGTTAATTGCAGAATAAAGGATAGGTTTTAAATTGGAGAAAGTTATTTTCTGACTCTTTCTACTATGTACATAACTTCATGCTATAAATAGTTAAATAGAAATGATGTAAGACTTACAAGAAAACAATTTCAAGAAAGGAATTAAGAACTTCAAGGCACATCTTGTAGAAGGAAGTTTGTCTAAATTAAAAAGGATAAATTTTAAAATGCTTTTAAATAATGCTCCTTTATTTCCTTTAAGTATATGTAATCATTTGAGGACAGACTGCATCTAGAAAGTAATCTTAAATAAATAATTATAACTTTAGAATTGGCATCTTAATGTGTTACATTAAGAATCCCTATTTTGTTTTTAGATTTATTTATTTATTTATTCATACACACCCTGACATGTAGGCCAGAGCTGTTGCGGGTGAGAGTATTCACCAGAGACAGAGTGGGAAGCCAGGACAGACGGATCACCTGAAATACACTGCTGAGGGGAGCAGTGTGATAGACAGGAAAGGTCTGCTGTGTCTCTGCTCCTGCTGGCAAGAGGATCAAACTTATGCTGCAGTGGTTGTGGCTGGTAATAGCTTGACAGCTCTGACACTTTAACTCCTGTACCACCAGGGTGGCCCTGAGGTGGATTCTTAACATAAAAGCTTAAGCAGTGTTGGAGCTGAACTTATTGTTTAACATATAGATATGAGATCATTTTTAGCTTTTCACCCTTTTTACTAGTCATACAGTTAATTCAAAAGAATTTATACACTCTAAAATACATTACAATTCTTTCCTAATCTCAAATCTTAAAAAAAACATTTTATCAAATGGCTATAGGAAGATTGTTCTTGACACTTATAATCTGGAATTTACTATTCTTTTTGGAGTTACAATAATTTATTTTATATTTTCAGTACCTTTATTAGTAAATTGAGTTGTAACTAATGTATTTAAAAAACTTATAAACAGCATTATAAGTATTTCAGTACAGCTATTTTGTTTAATTTATAGGTGGCTACAGTCAACGCCTTCCTAATGCAAGTGCTCTCGGAAAGATTTTTACTGCTTTACCCTTCGGTAACCCCATTTTTCAAATGTTGGAATTAAAACTAGCCATGTATATTGATTTTCCCTCACATATGAATCCTGGAATTTTGGTTACCTGTGCAGATGATATTGAACTGTATAGTCTTGGTGAATCTGAATTTATTAGATTTGATAAACCTGGCTTTACTGCTTTAGCTCATCCATCTAGTTTGACCGTAGGTACCACACATGGAGTCTTTGTCTTAGAACCATTCGAGTATTTAGAATATAAAGACCTTGAATATAGGACTTGCCATCGTTTCCTTCATAAACCCAGTATAGAAAAGATGTATCAGTTGCATGCTGTGTGTAGACCTAGACATTTCTGTCAACAACACTTTGCTGGGGGTGACTCTTCATGTCTTAAACCAGACCTAGAGTATGTATACACAGATAGCCTATTTTACATGGATTACAAATCAGCAAGAAGGTTACTTGATTTTTATGAAGAAATAGGCACGCTAAGCTGTGAAATAGATGCCTATGGGGACTTTCTTCAGGCTCTAGGACCTGGCGCAACTGTAGAGTATACCAGAAATACATCAAATGTCACTAAAGAAGAGTCAGAATTGGTAGATATGAGACAGAGGATATTTCATCTTCTCAAAGGAACATCTCTAAATGTTGTTGTTCTTAATAGCTCCAAGTTTTATCACATTGGAACAACTGAAGAATATCTGTCTCATTTTACTTCAGATAGCAGTTTGAAGTCAGAACTTGGCTTACAATCCATTGCTTTTAGCATCTTTCCAACAATACCAGAATGCTCTGGTAACACATCCTGTATCATTCAAAGTATACTGGATTCAAGATGTTCTGTGGCACCTGGCTCAGTTGTGGAGTATTCCAAATTGGGGCCTGATGTTTCAGTTGGGGAAAACTGCATTATTAGTGGCTCATCTATCATAACACCAGCTGTTCTTCCTGCATATTCTTTTATGTGTTCCTTAAGCTTAAAGATGAATGGACACTTAAAGTATTCAACTATGACATTTGGAGTGCAAGACAACTTGAAGAAAAATGTTAAAACATTGTCAGATACAAAGTTACTTCAATTCTTTGGAGAATGTTTCCTGTCATGCTTAGATACTTGGAATCTGAAAGTTACAGAAGAACTGTTCTCTGGAAACAAGACATGTTTGAGTTTGTGGACTGCTCGCATTTTCCCAGTTTGTTCTTCTTTGAGTGATTCAGTTACAACATCTCTAAAGATGTTAAATGCTGTAAAGAATAAATCACCATTCAGCCTGAATAACTACAAGCTGTTGTCCATTGAAGAGATGCTTGTCTACAAAGATGTGGAAGACATGATAACTTACAGGGAACAAATATTTCTAGAAATAACTGTGAATAAGGCAGTCTGATTTAGAGACATTACAAATATTATATATGTTGCCCTTCTTGTTTGATCAATGTTGTAAATATAGGAGTTCCTGTACTTTTTTGCAGAAGATTTTCATTTTCATTTCATTAAAGAATAATGCTGTAATTTAACATTAGCACATTTTCTCAAGTCAATATTTCAAGACTATAAGTTTTTTTTTAAAATATGTCACTCTCTAAATCTTACTACTTAAATATAATTAGTAAGCTTTTTTTTCACATATTACAATGGTAGTTTGTGGGGTTTTTATAAGGTGATTTTCTAACCATACTTCTAGAGTTTTTCCATTGGTTACTATAAACTTTAAATTATTTATGGCTGTTCTCTCAAACATAGCCCTATTCTGATGACTTGATTAAAAAGGTATACAGTAGAGTCTTTAGGCACTGTGTAAATACTATAGATTAAAAAAAAAAACTTTCAGATGCAAATTTATAATTGACAGATTCAGATGAAATCATTGCTCAAAATTGTTTGATTAATAAATGATACATTCCACATTGATGATAAAAGTCTCTGATTTTATGAAAATGAAACAAGGATGTATGTTTTGTTTTGTTTTGTCTTTGTAAACTTAATCTGTTTGTGGACCTTCAGATTTTATATGAATATGTTATATATAATTGAAATTTTTCTGATACTAATATAACTGCATTTTGGAAAATACTTTTCATTTTGTCATTAACTTTTTTGAACAAAACTTAACTTACCAGATGAACTGATACGGCTTTCCATTTCTTATTTTCTGTCCAAACACAAGTATGATACTAAGAGGTAATAGTTGACTATAAAGTAGGATACAGAATAATAAAATGAAGAAATCCAGATGATAAATTACAAGGAAAGCTGATTGGAGTCCCAAGTTATAGTTCACAAATATTTTTGTGAAATGTCTTCATATTAATCTGATAGAAAAAAATTTGATAGAATTTTGTGTTTTTATATTAATAAATTGAAGAACTGGTCTATTCTTTATTCATTAGTATGTTAATATTACATCATTCACATTGATATGTTAATTATTAAATTATTCAATTTAACCCTAGATTACAAAATACATAGGGGTTGTTTTTTTATTGAGATTCCTCTCAAAGAGAAAATAAAGATACATGTTAATTTGTTTAACATTTACTGATTTACTTTAAAAGCTCCCCAAAAATGTTATGTTTGCCATACATTAAGTGTTCACTGTATTTCACCTAGTTATAAGCGCCATCAGTTATTAAGAATCACTATTTTATATTGCACTAAGAGAAAATACTATCAATAAGATAGGCCACAATCCTGTCTTTGTTACTGTCTTTGTTACTGGATGCTTTAGGATTATTTCATTGGAGCTCTACTTAAATTATACTTAGAGTATATTTTATAAATTTAACCCTCTTGCATTAACATAAAAAATAAAGTGAAATATTGAGATATAGACAACACTTTCTAAACCTCCACAGTTGAGTCAAATTTGTCTAAAGCACATTTCACAATAAAGAGTTGTCAATATCTGTATTTCTACCCTGTAACTGTCTTCTGTGCTATCAAAGGTAATGCTAAAGCCTCATTTTCTAGTGTGCCCTCTCCCTCAACACACTACTGTCCATATTTTCCTCCAAATTATTAACAACTGTTACCTGTTACAGTCTTGAGGCTCAAAATTTTGTGTTGGTTTGATCACATGTCTAGGAGGTAACTGACTTCCCATCAAGTTCTGTGGAAGATGTCAGAAAAATTAGTAGGCACCATTTTACATTCCTATACAATCCTATAGTTGCTTTGAAATGTTTTCTTCAAAATTGACAGTGTCCATTTTGAGACATGGGTGTATATTACACATCTGTGCCAACAGCATACCTATCAAGAGATATTCATATAAATAAAGCATTTCCTTTTGATTTACCATTTTATAATATCAGCACTATATACTCTAAATAATTTATAAAGGATTGCTGTTGTTTGTAACTAAGTAAATTTATTATTTTATTTTTAGATTATGCATACACAACTGGGGTATAGGCCAGAGGTGCAGGAGTGATGAGAGGATTCACCAGAGGCAGTGAGGGGAGCAGAACAGACAGACTGACAAAGTACCCTGTTGAGGGGAGCAGCAGGAGAGACAGGAGTGGTCTACATGGCACGTGGGTCAACTGTAAAAGGAATAAAAGTGGGTAGATTCCTCCTTACTTATCATATTAGAAACTGGAAGCATTTGGTAACCACACTTTTAAGTAAGCAGAAGAAATCAATTACATTGTTTTTTAGCTTGCCCTTTGGAGCAATATATTTATTAAGATTTATTTATTTATTCATACAGAACTGGGGTACAGGCCGGACTTGCAAGGTCAGTGAGAAGATTCACCAGAGACAGAATAGGGAGCAGAATAGGCTGATTGACAAGGTACACTGCTGAGGGGAGCAGTAGACAGGTCAGGAGAGGCCTGCCATGCTATGTGGGTCATTTTCCTGCCTGGGGATCCAACTGTGCTGAAGTGACTGAAGCAAGCTTCAACTGTTGGGCCACCAGGAAGGGCCCTCTTAACTTACTGGTGAGTTAATGATTGACTAAGAATTAACCACAATCTGTAATCTGTAGTGATCCATTCATCTTCTGAGATTATGCAATATTTCGATGTCATATAAAGATTGCCAGATTCAGCAGAGAGCCAAAATCAAAACTTTGCTTGCTAAACATGAATGAATGGCTGTCAACAGCTGGTAAATAATGTACTGCCCCAAATCAAGGATGCTATTCACACAGGAGGCCCAGAATTGAGTTGCCCCCTATTATCTAGCATAATTAAAATGGAAAAAGCTAAGAAGTGAATTTGTTCAAAACTGTCAAGAGGATCTTCTGTTGCTCTTTTTATTCAGATAAATAAAAGCATTTTATACATTTCTTTGACTAAATTATTAAAGAAGTTATTTTTAATTAAAAGGCATCTATTTGTTCACTTAGTGCAAGAGAAATAATTGAAGCAATTGGTCATCTGTTTGGTTTATCCTAAATCATTTGTGGCCTGTAAAATTTTGTCTAGAAAAGATCCATTTTATCAGGGTGACCAGCATGTCTCTTTATTTATGCATAGTGAAATTGTATTATTTTATAGTTTGTTATATTTTATGTTTTATTATATTGTTATTATATTTTATTACTTTACTATAGTTTTGTGAGAGGTTATTGCACTCTCACCTTCCCTTCATGCCATGGGGCTAAATGCCATACAAGATGCTAGTTTTCTTCACTTGTCTGTAGTCACAGAAATGTCTGACTGCATCATCTTATATATCATGAGGGGAAAATTATACCAGTCTTTTGTGAGAAAATACCAGTCCTCATCCATGCCAGAGTCATCTAAATGGTTAAAAGCAAGCCAAACTTTCCAAACATTCAGACTTGTTAATATGAGTTGTAGGCCTCAATATAGAGTCAGGTTAAATTTTGAAACAGAGGGTGAAAAAAGCTGTGAATTCCTGTGAATATTTTATTTATACTTGTAAGAATAGCAGATGAAGAGGGAATATTCCTGCCAATTAGTCACTATTATCATTCACCTATAAAGCAATTTGATTGTTGATATTCGTGGTCAAAGATGTTCATCATGAGGGCATATGGCTCACATAAGTAAATGATTGAAAGCAACAGGCTTAATATTTCCTTCTGGCTGGTTGGACAAATAGTCTATCATTTAAAGCCTCTGGCTTTGGGAATCTAGAAGCTTTCGAAACTATAACATTCAACCATTCAAACAGAGCAGTTCATCTCTGATTGCTATATTCTGCTACTCCTGTAGCAATCCATCTGCTACATCCATTTTGCAGCTTTCTGTGTCAGAATTATATCCATTCAATTGTGCTTCAATGCATCTCTAAAACAATCTAAGCTCTAATGTCTATATTCTTTGGGCACAGGCTTATAGTGTGTTACTTATCTACTTGTTGAATGTCCAGCCTCTCTAGGGCTTTTATAATCTTTTTTGCAACTAAGTAAAATGAATGATTTTTAAAATCTTTTCTCCCCTAGAATTCACTCCTCTCTCTGCAGAACTTTAAGATGATTTAACTTAGTTTCACTTATCACCTTCTTTATAGGAGATGATCACATTGCCCAGAAATGAATTAAAGCATTTACATCTTACAACAAAAACCTTTTAAAACACAATTCTGTAGAAATCCAGTAAGTGTTCATTTATTTGCAGGTTGAGAAATGTACTACTCAATGAGGTTTTACATGATTGGTTTCTTTCCTATTATTTTTAGCCTTGGGGACTGAGAAAGAATTATATCCACCAATATGCTGTTCTTCAGAGAAGTTTCATCAACCATTTTTAATACAATATAAAACTAGAAAACTTTTGCTACACAGAGAAATAATTATGATCATAACAAATGGCCCAAGTACAGATTTAAATGTACAGCACATTGACAAGGTCATAAATTAACTTATAAAATTCACTACTTATATATCACTGAGATCAATTTTTAATGAAACTTAATAAGAAAGATCATCATTCATTATAATTGGTTAAAGTTGATAGAATTTGTGATTAAATATTATCCAGTCAAAGTTGTCTATGGATGTTAGTCTATGAAAAAGCAGAGAGGATGTGTAGAGATTTAGAGAAATTAACTTGTTACAACTGTTGACGTTTAAATACAAAGGAAATATCTGCTATGATTTCAGTAGAAAAGGATTTGTAAAATTTCCATTGTTTATTCTATCTGCAGTCTCTCCAAGTCTAAATTACATACATATTGCAATTTCCCAAAATGTAAAGAAAGAAACAAACAAAAGCAAAACTTGTTAGTCATATTATTTCATCAAGAAACTCTTTTATGTTTTTACTTGCAATGGTTTTGTGTACTAGCCATCATGGTATACAGCACTGATTTCTACATTTGTGTAAGTACATGCCGGCCTCATATCTTTCCCTCACTGAAAAAAACCTACTAGGTAACTCTGTTTAGAAAATCCTTACCTTCTTCCAATCAATCCTGATGATCGTTTCCATCTAAATCAATGTCCCAATTATTCACTGAATTGCTCAAGGCAAAAACCAAGAAGTCCTCCATGATCCATCACATGCTTCTCTCAGCTTTTCCTTTTTTCCAAATTGTGTTATGTTTTTTCTCTCTTTTTTTTTTTTGAAAGATTCATTAATTTA